ACAGTTGCCATTGTGCTTTTACTTCTCAATTATCAGCCGCACATCAAATTGGACTGCAAGAATTCCAGCACGAAAACTTGTTGAACCTTAATTGACAGTGTATGTTTATTTTTCTAAATCATTCCACTTAGGGTAGGAGTAACCGCACTGTTGCTCACTGAGCATGGAGTAAAGGTGTGACTTTTACCGTAGCTATAGCCTGGAAAGCATCATACTGCCCCAGCTGCTGTGAGCCTCCGTGCAGTTTATATCAATAACCTTTGAGCTTTTTTCTGCTGGCCAGCGCACATTACCAGCAACAGTCTCTACATCGCAGACAGACCTGTCACAGCAGTTTATCGTGTGAAGAAGTGAAGATTTATCGAGTTTGTCTGAGCACAGGGGAACGGAGTGAGGGTTTTAGACTAAAATGCTCCGCTGGGAGAAGCGGCAGAGTGCTGCTTCTGCTGTGATTCTGCTTGAGGTAGCCTGACAGTGAGCTACACACACACCTACACACACAACACACACACACACACGTTTACTCACATCTTTTCACATCAACGTATCTGGCTAGGCACACGCACAGTAGACAACATTAAAAAAAAAACCTACGCTTTTATTGAGATGCGAGTTTACATTCGACATAGGCGGAAGAGGCACATAAAAGCATTATGGCACACAATCAATGCCCTGAAGGTGTATTGGCATGCGTCTGTGCCCATTCGCTCTATCTTTGCAGCTCCATTGAGGAGACTGAGGAGCCTTGTTTCCACTGATACACAGCTTTTTGATTCACTTAGCAGGCTTTGTCATGTGCATGTTGGTTTAAGCCTCTGACTGAAAATCAACTGTGAAGCCTGAGCAGCACCCACAAAACCACAAACAGTCATTAGCGCTACAGTAGTAGGCCCTACTAATTAGCTCATCATCTCAGCACCTCTCTCTCTTGCTTCACGGATATGATTTCAAAGTACACTTTCCCAAAGTGTCATGGTGTCATGGTGGCATTACGGCGCTGGACATACAAGTATATTTCTATGTGCTCTCTGGGGACAAGCGGCGACACACAGGACTTGTAGTTTCCTCTATCGACTGTGTGACTAACAC